CGCGCGCTGTGTATCCAGTGGCCGCCTGCGCTCCATCTCCCGTCACCCCCCCACTTCTTCGAACGCCACTTCTTCAAAATAGACTCGCCCAGGCCGAAAACTGACTTCTGCACATGGGCCACGAAGTTTCAATCGCACTGTACGTGCGTGCCCGCACGTGGTATTTTGTGGAAGAGCCACACTCAAGGGGCCAAAGAGCCGCATGTGGCTCGCGAGCCAAGGTTTGCCGACCACTGGCCTAGAGTTAACAATGGCATGACTATACCCCAGGATGTTCTCTAAAAGCAGATGGGTTATTAAAAATATTTATCAGGTCCTGACCGGTTTGGCTCAGCGGATAGAGTGTTGGCCTGCAGACTCAGGGGTCCCAGGTTCGATTCCGGTCAAGGGCATATACCTTGGTTGCGGGCACATCCTCAGTGGGGAGTGTGCAGAAGGCAGCTGATCGATGTTCCTCTCTCATCAATGTTTCTAACTCTATCCCTCTCCCTTCCTCTGTAGAAGGTCAATAGAATATATATTTTTTAAAAAAACAAAAAACATTTATCAGCTGATACAGCCCAGACACTCCCAACTGGAACAGCAGCTGAGCACAGCTTTGGAGCAGGATCCTGGAGGCCTCTGCTGTGTCCGCTTTTGACACTAATTAGGGAGATCGAAGGGTGCACAGCAGGGTTGGAGGGAGAGGCGCCTCTCAGGCAGCGCAGAAGAAAGGTGATTTTCCAACAATATTTAAATATTTTAGCACTGATATAGTAGGGTATACATGACCTACCAGCCCTGCTTGAAAATAGTTAGAATCTTCCCGATGAGTTATTTCTGCATTCTGCATGAGTTATCGACGTTATGTGCTGGCGGTTTTTCTATTTTTTTTTCTTTTGTAAACAGCAGTCACTATCAGACTGCCCACTATGTGCTCAAAACCAGGAGAAATAAAAGACATGGTTTCTGCTTCCTGTATAGATACAAAATAACATCAAAAAATGTAATGATACCTTAAGAGAATTACAATAGTGTCAAATGGAATTAATCTCAAATAGAGTGTTGTCGCAGCAGACAGCATTAACCATAAGAAGTTCTGGCTTCTAGTCCTGTCCTTTCAAGGTATGTGACCTTGAGGAAATCACTTCAACTCTGAGCTTGCTTGTTCACCTGTAAAAATGGGAATAATACCTACCCTGCCACTCTCAGTTATAAAAATAAATGACCAAACACAAGAGCTTGAGAACAGAAACTAGAACTTTGTGATCATTAAACCACCAGTGGCACATAACTGATGCTGCATAAACATTTGTTGAATCTATCAATGAGAGGAAAGTATTTGGTAAAATGTAAAGCATAGTGTTCATATAAAGGATGTAGACTAACTGACAGAGGAGGTAGGCAGACTTAGAGTTGTTTTCCTTACATGAATTAAAATATTAATTAGCATATGAATGAGGAGCTACGGATGCTGTCAGATTGCAAAAGTGGAGATGAGCTGTGGGTAATACCCCTCAGATTTTAACATTTACAGGATGGTAT